ATTCATGTATCCTAAAACCATTTGACACTATTACTTTGTCAAATTTCTCATGCCACTGTTTTGGAGCTTGCTTTAGTCCATATAGTGACTTCACGAGTTTACACACTTTGTGCTCTTAACCTTGTATAACAAATCCTTCTGGTTGTTGCATGTAGATTTCCTCATCTAACTCTCCATTTAGGAAAGCGGTTTTAACATCCATTTGATAGATTTCAAGCTTATAGATTGAGGCTAAGGCAATCAACACTCGAATGGTGGCGATTCTAGCCACCAGAGCATATGTATCAAAATAATCAATACCCTCATTTTGAGTAAAATCCTTAGCAACTAATCTTGCTTTGAACTTGTCAATTGTGCCATCAACTTTCATTTTCCATTTGAAAATCCATTTACAACCAATGGGTTTGAATCCAGGTGGAAAATCAGCAAGTATCCAAGTATTGTTACCCATGATAGAATCCATCTCATCGTTTATTGTTTCTTTCCAGAAAGCAACATCTTGAGACTTCATAGCTTCCTCAAAGGTTAATAGATCTGAATCCATATTCAAAGAAATCATTGTTTGCTTACAATAAGCTTTTCTAGTTCCTTGTACAAGGTAAACAATGAAATTAGGGCCAAATAACTTCTCAGTCCTAGCCCTCTTACTCCTCCTTAGCTCAATAGGCTCGTTAGGTTCATTAGACTCAATAGGTTCATGTCGTTCACTTTCCTCTGTAGACATCAAAGGAGTTGATTCATTTTCTTGATTAGAATCCAACCTTGGAATGGTTGTGAAACGATTCTCATAAAATACCGCATCACGTGATTCAATGATGGTATTTGTTTCCATTGAACCATTGGGCTCCGCTACTAGAAACCTATATGCTTTGCTATGTATAACATAGCCAAGGAATATGCATTCAATTCCTTTTTCACCTAATTTCTTCTTTTTAGGTTTAGGCAATCTGACTATTGCTCTACAGCCCCATGTTTTCAAGTAACCAAGATTAGGTTTCTTGTTTTTCCAAAGTTCATACGAGGTAACATTTCTTCCCTTGAGAGGAATTCTATTGAGTATGTGATAGGCAGTGAGCAAAGCTTCACCCCAAAAATCAGAACTTAAACTGAAATAAGAAAGCATAGCATTAATCATTTCTGTTAATGTCCTATTCTTTCTTTTAACTACTCCATTTGTTGTGGTGTGTAGGGTGCAAATTTTCATGAATAATACCAACATTTTCACAATATTCTAGAAAATGGTATTCACTGCCTCTATCAGACCTAAGTCTCTTTATTTTGACATTACACTAATTTTCTACTTCTGTCTTAAAAATCTTGAATTTATCAAGCACCTCACCTTTTGAATGCAAATAGATATGACAGTAGTTAGAAAAATCATCAATGAATGTTACAAAATATTTCATACCACCTCTAGTGGGGGTACTATGCATGTCACATACATCACTATGCACAAGTTCAAGCAGAGATGCTGTTTTATCTACTTTAGGAAATGGAATGCGAGTAATTTTTGATTGCACACAATATTTACATTTTTCAAACATATCATTGTCATACTTAGGAATTAAATCTAAATTAACCATATCATGCATTTTCCTAGTATTAACATGACCTAAACGAGCATGCCATAAAAAAAGAGAATCAACAATATAAGCAGAAACAGATGTATTATTGATAACGTTAAGTTTGAACATTCCTTGATACATGTAGCCCTTCTCAACAAAAATCCCACTCTTAGACAGGACAAATTCGTCCGACTCAAATACTAACTTGAAACCATGCTTATTAAGCAAGCTTCCAGATACAAGGTTTTTCCTGACATTAGGTACATGATAAACATCATTAAAACTTGGGACTTTTCCAGATGTAAACTTTAGATCCACCGTCCCTTTGCCTTTGATAGCAGCAGTTGAAGAGTTGAATATGTAGAGAACTGTTCCATCACTCACTTGTTCATAAGTAGTGAAACGACTCTTATCATTGCAGATGTGCCTCGTTGCTCCTAAGTCAATCCACCAGTCACCAGTATCTTCGAGCATGTTCACCTCGGATACAACAACCACGAACTTGTTCTTAGCATTTAATGCTTCTAGCTTCTTCTTGTATGACCGACATTCATTTCTGAAGTGCCCTGGCTTGCCACAGTGCCAGCAAGCGCCTTTCGGCTTCTTAGCATTTTTCTCGGGTTGGGGTTCATGCTTACGCTTCTTTTTGTTAAACCTCTTACCATCATCCACCATGTGGATCTTGGACGACTAAGCCAATTGGTTATCTTTACTTTCAAGTAACCTTGACTCTTCCTTAACTCGGAGGTGCTGAGCCAATTCCTCTAAAGTAAGATCTTCCTTTTTGTGTTTTAGAGTTTTCTTAAAATCTTTCCAAGAAGATGATAGTTTCTCTATTATAGATGAAACTACAATAAATTCATCCATGTTCATATTCGTTTGCCGAAATTGACTCAGAATATGTCGGATCTCATAGAATTGTTCCATAATGGGCTTTGTATCAATCATTGTAACGCAGAAAATTACTAACAAGAAATTTCTTACTGGTGGCATCCTCGGTGAGGTACTTTGGCTGTGATAAGTCCCAAAGTTGCTTTGTCGTTTCCGGATGTTGATACACGTCGAATAGAGAGTCTGACAGCGCATTCAGAATCTGTCCTTGGCAAATGTAGTCGTCATTCTTCCATTTTTTTCTGGCACGGGTTTGCTCTACAATCTCGTCTTCTTGCTTCGTTGGATAGGGGGTAGTTAGCACGTAGACCACTTTGAGAGTGGTGAGCAAAACATCTTCTTTTGCGGTGTGGGTGCATGCACACTAGCTTTCATCTCATAATTTCATATTCAAAAGAATATTTCATGTAGCACTTTATTAAGTGCTCCATGTTTTGCTCTCTTTCCAATGTGGGACAAAGTCCCCAAGCTTATTTCTTGCTTTCTAAAGAAAACGTGGAAGAGCAAAACATCTTCTTTTGCCAGTGTCGGAAATTTTCTCCATCAAAACGGTCAAGCTTCATGAAAGCTTGAGTCATTTTCTAAATAGACATTGCCATATCCAAATATTGTCTTTAGATTATTGGAACAAATGGTCTTGAATTCTTTAAATGGAGGGTCTTCAGGTCTTCAAAATTGGGCAATGATCTCGTCTATATAGAATAGAAAATTAGTGCTTCAAGTCGCGTTATAAAGTCGTTTTCCTAAAGACAATATTTGTACCCACCAAAAAGTGTGCAGGGGGTTACAACAAATTTGCCTCTAGTATACAATAAAGTCTGATCTAAAGATCTAGTCTATCGGCGTCTGCACTGACGACAATAGATCATAACACTCTTGATATAATCTAGAAATCAAGACACTGATAATAAAATCTGCAGAACCTGATTATCAATAAGAAAAATAGAAATTTGCTTAAGAAACTCTTGATCGAAAATTCAAAATCAAGAGAGAGAGAGAGAGAGAGAGAATTGCAAGAATGCTTTTCAGGATTTTGGATGGAATGAAATGGCTGATTTCGTAGCCCATTTATAGGCCTTGATGGATCTGATCGAACGGTCATGTCCCTTGATCGCATCCGATCAGATCTGACCGTTGGATCGGTTGGTTGATTCATCGCCAACGGACGACACGTCATTGCCACGTGGAGCTGACTGTATTCCACGTCACCCATGCAACGACGGATCTACATCATCGCTCCAACCTGTCCAATGCAAATAGGAAAGCACCCTCATGGCGCTGACGCGAAGTGCAAAGTGCGCTATCAGACGCCACACAACCCACGCCACGCGCATGTGCAGATGGTGCGAAGCACCATCATTGCGGTGTGGGTGCATGCACACTAGCTTTCATCTCATAATTTCATATTCAAAAGAATATTTCATGTAGCACTTTATTAAGTGCTCCATGTTTTGCTCTCTTTCCAATGTGGGACAAAGTCCCCAAGCTTATTTCCTGCTTTCTAAAGAAAACGTGGAAGGTTTTTAAAACACCCAAAAATTAAACTATACATTTTGAAAACTATTTTGAAAATTCCCCAACATTCAATATAGTTTCTTTTTTGCCGATAAAAAAAAAAAAAAAAAAACAGTGTACGACTACTTGAAGCACTGGTTGTTTTGGCATTCGCGATTGCATAAAATTGAAACAAATCTTTTTGTGCAATATAGTCCAAATTTGAAATGTGTAAAGTAAATTTATTTTGAGTATGAGTTACAACAACTCACTAAATTTGAATCACTACATGTACTTCAATTTTTAGTCACTTTTTGGACTCATTTTTCGAACTTCCTAATTTTTTCCCTAATGTTCTTTAAATAAAGAGAGAAAAAGGGAACATGATACAAAAAAATTGGGTCAGCCTTATCACAAACCTGCTTTCAATAGTAGGTCCAGCTAGGGCTTCTTTTGGTGGGCAAATGCAAATGGCCCTCTTTAAATAGCACCCAACCCAAATCAATCCAAAATCACAGCCCACCTATAACTATTTTGCGACTTTGGTTTAAAATTACTTGAAATCAATCATAGTTGTATTTTAAAAAGTTTGATTGTTTGCTAAAACCTTTTAGATTTTTAGATACTTTTTTTTTTTTTTCAATTTAAGAAAAAAATTCAAAATAAAGCCTTTTTTAATTTAATTTTTTCAAAAGATAGAACATTAACGAATAAGTGAGTTAGATTACTACAATTTGACATTCTTTACTTCTCCATAAACTCAAATTCCAAACCTCTTGAGAAACCAAGAAACCAAGATTTACAACTAAAGTTAAGAAGCTCAAAAAAAATAAAAAATAAAAAAAATTCAAGCAAAGCTAAAAAAAAAAATTAATTTCAGTTTAAAATACAAATCTTAAAAGTCAAGAGTTGGACAAATAAAAGAAAAGCTTGAAAAGTGAAATCAAATCAAACACAAAAAATAAATAAGTGAAGTGTAATAAATAAAATGAAGCGAACAACCAACCAACCAACCACACATGATCATGAGCGCCACAAAGTGACAGTTTAGAATACTGTTTTTCTCCCGCGAAAAAGCAATTCATAAAGCAATAAATAGTTAGTTTAATAGCAGTTAAGAACTGGAAAGCCAACTCACTCTCGTGGGTGTGCCCCTCTCTCTCTCTCTCTCTCTCTCTCCACACATAACCCACCTTTTGCCTCTCTTTCTGCATCATCTTCACTTTGATCTTACTCTCTCTTGTGGAAAAATGGTTAAGGAAACAGAGTACTATGATGTTCTCGGCGTCACTTCCTCTGCTTCGGAGGAGGAAATCCGAAAGGCTTATTATATCAAGGTCTTGTATTTGTTTGATTGTTGAAACTCCAATCTTAAATCTTAATTCATTGATGTTTGTAAGGTTTTGATGGTTGTGTATATATGGGTTTATGTAGTACATATCATAGATGAATCGAGATCAACTTACTAGATGGTGGAAAATTTGTAGTTATTGTAATTTGCACCCTTCAATAACTTCATGTGATGCACATATACTCATATTTGATACTCAATTGATCTTAATCTATTGATGTTTGCAAGGGTTTTTATGGTTATGTATATGTGAGTCTATGTATATATGTGAATCGAGATCAAGATGGTGGAAAATTTGCAATCGTTTAATTTGCGCTGCACCCCTTAATAACTCATGTGATGAACACGTACTCATACATCTACATGCTTATATATGTGTGGGATTTGAACAATTATGACATAGTCCAATGGTGGTTCACATAAATGCCTCAATTTATGTAGCCTTTTAATGTTCAATGAACTCTGTGTGTGGGTGTGCGTTTCATTTTATTTTTTAATTTTTTTTTGACACTAGACAAATTTGGCATGAGGGTTTCATGTACCTCCATTTGGTTTTCTCTTGGGAGCTACATTTGTCGGATTGATTTTTAGATTAGACAGGTTTTTGATGAAAGATTGAGTTGGAGAGCATGGGAGGGGTGAGGACTGGCACATACTGTGTTTGTTGAAATTCTTACTTAAGCCTTCTCCTATATTTGAGCTAGATATATACATATGTGCATCCTTATTGATTGTTATATTGGGCTACCTTCTATGAAAGTTTAAAACATCTACAACCAACAGTGAGAGTGAAACAGAATTTAACTCGCATTTAAGTTGAATAAGATCTTGTTAATCTACTAGTTATGGGGATTAATAGTCATTGTCTACAGGTCTTATGCACATGCTCTTGAAGTGTTATGATTTAAAATTGTGGTAAAAATGTTATGGAAACCTTTTTTTTTATTTATTAATGATACAGGCCAAGCAAGTTCATCCTTATAAAAATCCTAATGACCCTCAAGCTGCGGAAAGATTTCAGGCAAGTCCATTATTTCTTATTCATCTTTCTCTCATTTTCATTCTCCTACAAATTTCTTGAAAAAGTGTTTGGTCTTGAATTAGAAACTAAACAAATAATGAGAATTTTTACTTAATTTTTAATTTTCTTGCTCATGAATGAGTGGAAAAACAGAGAGGAGGTGTCTTCATTGACGTTTTGGTCTATCATGTTTCCATTTTACAACACTGACCTTTATGATTAAGTGATTCTCAATGTCAATAGGTACTGGGCGAAGCTTATCAGGTCTTAAGTGATCCAGGTCAAAGGGATGCATATGATCGAAATGGAAAGTATTGCATATCTAGGTAAGTCTATTGGTTTTGGTTACATGAAAACAGACATTTACACACACATAAATACATATACAAGGCTGCGGTGACTTACAATTGGTTCTGTCATCGGTGGAATAATTTCTTTGTAAATTCCTATGTCTCCCCACCTAGATCGCTCTTTTGTGAACAAAGTATCAAAAATAAGAAGCAGAAGCTCCAATATCACTTACTTTTATTGTCTTATTTATTTGTTAATTAATTGACCACTCCTAAATGTAGACCTGCAGACACAAACAATTTGAGGCTTTCCTTGGAAGCATTAATGGGTTAAATATTTCAATCTTATCTCAAGCACTACAAATGCTAGAGGAAGAAAGGGAGGAAAATGGGACAATAATTTCTCAATATGTAACTCTGCACATGCTAAACCACAAAGGTTTCATTCAAAAGGAACTTTCTCTGTAACCTTTTTGAAATAGAGTTGATGCTCAGTTGAAAATTTCCTGTGACCCCGTAAGGGATCAAACCAACCTCAGTTGTCAGAGTGTTCTTCCATAAAATCATCTTTCAGATGACCTCTCATTTGTTCATGGTTATATTTTCTGGACACATATCTAATGTCTTAATTTTTTTTTGTTTTTTATTTTTTGTTTTTCAGAGACACCATGCTTGACCCCACTGCTGTTTTTGCTCTTCTTTTTGGAAGTGAACTGTTTGAGGACTATATTGGACATCTAGCTGTGGCATCAATGGCTTCCTCCGAGTTAGCTAGTGAATGTGACAATCCTGAAACATTACATGAAAAGTTAAAGGCAAGTATGTTCCATATTCATCATGTATAGAAATTGTTCCCCCCCTCTTTCATGGGTTAAATTGTGTTCTTTGGAAGTAGGCAGTCCGTTTAGGGTTCTCCTTCGTCAGTGGTACGTCAAACTCAGAATGTATTACATTAATACTTTGGTCCAAAACTTGGGAAGTTGCACTACGACTACGCTTTACCATGTTGTCAATGGAATGTTTTTGGTGAACTAAATATAAGGACTATATTAGGATGATACCTCTGAATGATAGACGTAGAGTTTTGCAGAATTGATTTCCTACATTGTACATTTGCAGAAGGTCCTAGAAATTGTTCTTACCATTCTCGATGCTTTCCTTTATTCTAATTCCTTTCTTCCATGCACACACCAATATTTCATTTTATCTTCCGCCATTAATCTATGATCGAACTATGTGATGAAGGCTGTTCAAAAAGAACGAGAAGAAAAGCTTGCTAGAAAACTGAGAGATTTGCTTCAGCAATATGTTCGAGGTGACAAAGTAGGATTTATACATTGTGCTGAATCTGAAGCAGAGCGACTTTCACATGCAGGTTTAACTAAGCATCCCACTTCCAGTTCATGTTTCCTTTTCTTTTCTACATAGACTATACTAGTACTTTTGATCTCAAAAGGACACAAACACAAACACGCGACATGACACGGACATGACAATTTTAAAAAATGTGAGGTACTTCTAAATGTGTGGTTGATTTTCTGTTAACTATTAAACAACTACTGAAATAAAATCTATGAAAATGCATTTCTACTTTTAAATATATTCGTAAGTGATTTATTAGGTGAGGGAAGCCCTTAGACCAGTATTGAGGGACTAAAAAGCCAACTCACTGTTAGGAGAGATATTATTACAAAAAATGTAAAGTTTTGTGTTTTCACCTTTTAGATAGAACGTATATATCTGGGAAATCCCAAATTTAGAGGGGGAAAAAATGGAGAGACTAACAATGTGGAACAGAGGGAGTATTATAGAACTGGCCAACCTTTTTTTTCCTTTGAATCCATGGATCTACTTGCGAAAATAATTCGAAAATAATGGTTTGGCTTGTTTGAGGCTTCTATTTACCATCTACGGCATGGATATCTTGGATTTGGATTCTATGCCATTGTTTCTTTGCAATAATCTTGCTGTGGTTTTTACAACAGCATGACACATGATTAATGGACATAATCCAATGGTCAAAGTTGAAAGTTAAAGCACAATAATATAAACTACATATTCTTAAACTATGTCGTTTAGTCTCAACTTTAAACTTAAAGACTGCTATATTATCACAGAAACACTATTGCAGAGATCTATGGTAGAGGATCCTGATCCGGATACAATACTAGCATACTTTATTCATTCCAACATGAACTCACTATAATTTGCCATTCTCTAGTGTTCAAATTGACCATGTTGAAGTCGATCCTTCACTATAACTTGCCATTCTCTAGTGTTCAAACTCACTACTTTTGGCATGTAGTTTGACTATTTGCATACAGCTCGCTTGTTACTTGATCTTGTGATATACAAGCATAATTCAACTGCTATTGTTGCTGATATCGCGCAATATAAAGCTGGACACAAACACAAACACAAACACTCGACATGACATGGACATGACAATTTTAAAAAATGTGAGGTACTTCTAAATGTGTGGTTGATTTTCTGTTAACTATTAAACAACTACTGAAATAAAATCTATGAAAATGCATTTCTACTTTTAAATATATTCGTAAGTGATTTATTAGGCGAGGGAAGCCCTTAGACCAGTATTGAGGGACGAAAAAGCCAACTCACTGTTAGGAGAGATATTATTACAAAAAATGTAAAGTTTTGTGTTTTCACCTTTTAGATAGAACGTATATATCTGGGAAATCCCAAATTTAGAGGGGGAAAAAATGGAGAGACTAACAATGTGGAACAGAGGGAGTATTATAGAACTGGCCAACCTTTTTTTTCCTTTGAATCCATGGATCTATTTGTGAAAATAATTCGAAAATAATGGTTTGGCTTGTTTGAGTCTTCTATTTACCATCTACGGCATGGATATCTTGGATTTGGATTCTATGCCATTGTTTCTTTGCAATAATCTTGCTGTGGTTTTTACAACAGCATGACACATGATTAATGGACATAATCCAATGGTCAAAGTTGAAAGTTAAAGCACAATAATATAAACTACATATTCTTAAACTATGTCGTTTAGTCTCAACTTTAAACTTAAAGACTGTTATGTTATCACAGAAACACTATTGCAGAGATCTATGGTAGAGGATCCTGATCCGGATACAATACTAGCATACTTTATTCATTCCAACATGAACTCACTATAATTTGCCATTCTCTAGTGTTCAAATTGACCATGTTGAAGTCGATTTCTCATTGTTGCAATTACAGCTTTTGGGGTTGATATTTTGCACACTATCGGCTACGTATATGCAAGACAGGCCGCACAAGAGCTTGGAAAGAAAGCCATATTTCTTGGGGTGCCATTTGTGGCAGAATGGGTTCGCAATAAGGGACATTTCTGGAAGTCACAGATTACTGCAGCAAAAGGTATAGTCAATTATCAAGGCGATATCAACACCCTCTGTCATCCTTTCCCTCTTTAAAAGTTACTTTATTTAAATTATTTCTTTCTTTTGGGGAAAAAAAATGTTTCCAGGAGCTTTTCAGTTGTTGCAACTTCAAGAAAACATCCATCGCCAATTTAAAATGGAAGGTAGTAGCCTTGAGAATGACCTCGAATCACATTTAAGGTCGAACAAGGATACATTGAGGAACTCACTATGGAAATTGAATGTGGTGGACATTGAAATAACTCTTTTACATGTGTGCCATATGGTGGGTTTTTTGTTCTTCTTTCTATCAGTAACCTTTGTTCCTGAAATGGGGTTTTTGTGCTTTATTATTTTAGGTTAAGGAATTTTCAATTTTCAGTTTTTATCGTATGCAAGAAAAAACACAAGTCTATATGCTTTACAAATAAGTTTCTGTTTGTTTTTTGTTTTTGATTTGCTTGCAGGTGCTGCAAGAAAGTAATGTCAGGAAGGAAGAACTTAAGGCCCGTGCTATGGCTCTAAAAATTTTAGGAAAAGTTTTCCAGGTAAAACAAGTGGCGTAATCAAATAGTAGAATCATATGTTTGTTATTATGACCAACATTTCCATAATTTACTAGCTTGCCAAAAAAAAAGTGACAAGTATGATTGGCTCAGCATGGAACTTGAAATTTTCAAATTCTCAGATTTCCAGTAATCTGGAATGGTTTGTGAATTAGCAGACAGACACTTTTTTCTATCCTTAGTTGGATGAATGTGTTCATTTGACTGATGAATTGCATTTCTGATGCTGCTTTTGACCTTTTTAGAGGGAAAAGGACAGACAAAGTGGTGGAACATCAAAGAAAAAGATTGCTTCCAACATAAATGATGACGAAAGCAGTTCTGACAGCAGCGATGAAGAGGATTCACCAAGAACACTTAATTATCGAACTCCCATGATCACACAGGTAAGTCTAGTGATTCTTTAAACCTAATAATATATCATGAACACCCCACCTCCCTCATACCCTCAAATGCTTCACAAATGTTATTTCATCCTATGTTTCAAGTTTTCTTGTTCGATCTTCAGAGTTTAAAAAGGTGAAATTAAATCTGTGATGCTTCATATGGTTATTGATCAGATTCCTCTGTTTTTCTCCGTTTCTTTCAATTCACAGTTCGCATTTCAACTATAAATAAATAGTCATTTACTACTAACATAGACAAATAGTCCCTTTAGATTATGGGTTCAGGGTATGAGAAATGGTATCAGAGCCGGGATGCTCTGTCCTTGAGGGCTGGTGACTGCTTATGGGAAACTGAAAGATGGTTAGATTCCCGCATCGCCTCCATTGTGAACTTCACTATAGCTCTTAACAAAGAACCGAATGCAAAATTTTCTGACCTTCGCTTGTGGCCCACTCAATGAGAAGATCGAACTTTTAAGCAGTTCCACTTAGTACACATTTGCAAGACAACGGATTTTGATCAGGCTCATCTCAATCCTGGACTGTATCAGAAAAAAGAACAGAATCGTGGAGTTTAGAGACCAAAATCTACTACCCATGAATCAAATGGGACCTTTTCTTAAATAACCCGTGCTTTTTATGCAACGTAATGAGCTCCCTTTCATTTCTCATGTGGCAGGGTATCGGTAGACTCTTCAGGTGCCTCTGCAATCCGGCATTTGATGTGGATGACGAAGAGATCGTATACAAAAGCAAATAATGCAAGAGACATACACTAAACAAGGTTCAAATTTGGCTTGTTCAAGACTGTAATGCAATAGATATCTATATGTCTGCACCAATTTGAAATTGAGCAATCTGTGAGATTGTAGTAAGAGAGGAATGACAGGCGAAGCCAAAACTACGTATTTCGTATTTGTATTTTGTTGAAGAACATGCCATTGCCGGTATGTATTTCAAGCACATGAAGATTGGTGAGTGCACATTTGATGCATAAATCTGTCAGAACAACGTATGCTTTGTTTCTTCAACTACGTTGGTATAAGAAGAAGATAATACCAAAGAACTGTGAATCCAAATAATGTACTTCACTGACCAGAAATCACAAATCACTAACCTATTACTACAAGTAAACAACTTGACTTTCATTTTAAGGTGACTGGGGAGGGTGGGGGAGAGGGTGGTGGAGGGACAAGGGAAGGCTGGCTGCTGGCAGAGGAGACAACAGGCAGAGAGACGGGGAATGGGCAGCTGAGGGTGGGGAGTGGGAGGGTGCGGGAGGTGTCAAGGTCCGACCAACATCTTTCTGCATCAAGTGCAGGTAAGAAGGGTGGCAAAGAGAAATAAAGCAGGAAGAAAGGGAGCAGAAAAGAAAGGAGGCAAAAAAACAAAATTTCCATGATTTTATGATTTTTTTTTTTTTTTTTTTTTTTTTTTTCAGAGTGCTATTTGTAAAACAAAAAAATTGCCACTAGGTTTCACGGTTTCAGCCAGTTGGAATCCGTGGGTTTTGGCAGTTTTCACATTATATGCTGGTTTTTGAGTATAAACAGTTTTGATGGTTTGTCCGGACAGGAAGTATGGCCGGCTGACGGGTTAACCGGTTCTACTGCCAAGCAAGGTTGTTCAAATCGAAATTTTACATTGGATCGTTAAAGGTGTTTATAGGATCGAATTGTAGAATCAGATCGAAAATCGTAAGATCTTACCGAAAAAGACAAATTACATAATAATTTAATTTAAATAAATATTTCTTAAAAAGTACACACAAAATGAGCCTATATTTTATTAAAAAGAAGTGAAGATATTGTGAGAAATATAATACTCAATGTCAAATGTACATATAATATTATACAATAAAAAATTCGAAAATAAAAGTTTTGTATTCATTAAAAAAGAATGTAAAGAAGAAAAATTCTATAATAAAATACTTTACGATCTACAATAATACATAAAAAGTGAAGAAAAAATATTTAACAAAGTTAGATATGAAAATAGATAAAGAACTCAAAAGAGCAACCTAACCGAATGATAACATCCCTGGTAAAGCGGATTTAAATCACAAAAATAATCTCTTCAAAAATTGAGATAAAGTTCCAATCATCTTATCCTTCTTAGACTCCACTAAAGCTAAATTTGTTTTTTCGGCTAGTTAATTTTCTTAAATTATCGCAACATTTAAATGTTTGTTTCCTAATTTGTTTTTCTTAGTCCATTTGCTTCAATACTACTCAATTTTTATTTTTATTATTTATTTTGATCACATAAATTGATATTTAAATAACAAACATAAAATTTACAATAAAATGTCATATAATACAAAAACAAAGCTTGTAAATTGGATCGGATTCGGATTGACATTCCACGATCCCGCAAGATTCCATTACCAAGATCGAAAGATCCTACCTATAAGGAAATTTTTACACGATTCGGATCGATTGTACTCAAATAGATCGTAAGATTATAGGATCGTAAAATCCGGGTCGAGATTATGATAAAAATGCTGTCAGGTCCGATTTTTTAAACAATCCTTGCCACTTTCTTGCAAATATTTGTCCCGAATGCCATTTTACAGAAATTTTTTCTAAAAAAAAAATGACAGGAAAAACAAGTTAAAAAAAAATAATGAGGTCTAAACCAATGTCTGAACCAGCCAAAGTGAGAGTCATTGCACCATTTATAAGGTCTAAACCAATGTCTGAAATGCCTTAAAAAAGCCAGTCTCTGCAAACGCATACAACAATTTCACAGGATTGCGGGTTGAAACAACAAAACCCAAGTCTTCAACACATCCATATATATACACAGGTTATTGTTCTGTCCTTTTTGAACCAATAAACAGAAACTTTCAGATTTTACCACCGACACACTCCGCTCAGTGAGCCAGATGAGGAAGTGCACTGGCTGCTCGGTGTGCTAAGTCGGCACATGCACAATGCACAGACGTCAAGTTCAAACAACCACTTATGATGAGAGAATGCCTTCCAGAGCATGTGTGAAGTGAAGGAAACGAATCACATACAGCCTGAACAGCTGGCGGAGTAAGGGCCGTGCACTGGCTGATGTTGAGATTCACAAGCCCTTCCTCCATGTACCTGTTCTTCATGGATTCCCACATTTCGTGCTTGTTCTTCACTCGGCTGTGAGCCAGAGAATACATTGCTCTGTCCGTAATGTTTTGGCAGTAGTAGAGACCAAGGGATCTTAGATGAATGCAGTTGTTTGCCAAAGCAATAACACTATCATCTGCAACAAGATGCAAAAAGGTCAGAGGGATTTAACCATTTGAGTCACTGTAATAAGATAAAAATAAAAATAAAGCTAACAGCAAAATAAATATAAAAACAAAAACAAAAACAAAAAAAAACTTTTTGCAGATTCAAATGAACAAAATTTACTGAAAGTTCCACTACCTTTATTAAGTGTGCATATCAACCCAATTAATCCAGGGTCCAGAGGAACTTTAACACACATCAACTAAAATACATTTAAATGTAGTTGATATATGAAAAACCATTATGATTGCTTCAGCAAGAAACACATAACCTTGTGCGAATAATTTAGAGTAGCATATGAAAATTGAAATAACCAAGCATATCCTTCCCCTGAACAAAACTTACATAAACTCTCTTTCTATTTGTTTTCCTTTCTTCTTACCTTTTATTTTCCTTTCAAAGAAGAGGAGAGGGTGGAAAACAACCACCTCTTAGTTTTAAATGCCTTTAATGTGAATCACATTAAGCCTCCTAATTAATCTATACATTGGGCCTTGTGGCATCAAATCAGCTGATATTTTCTTACCCTTCCATTCATTGGTATACCCTACAAATGCTATCACCTATAATGCAGTAACCTCCTGCATTGCTAACCATTCATCTTGATATACTCCAGCCGGTTACATTTTCATTTATGAAAAATGCTCCTTAAATGCCCTACATTCTAGTCACTACAAAAACAACCAGATATAAAGCCATCACTTTGATGTGTTAGATATAAATTGATTTCACACAGCAACAGTAGCAATTTTCTAGTACTTAATTCATGCTCTATAAAGGCAAATTTCCAACCTTAAATATTGAGTCCGTGTGCATGTTCAAGTGCCAAAGCCTTCATGAACCTAAATTTTAGGATACTAGGATATGTATCCAAAAGTTTCGTAAGGATATGAAGTTGAAGCCGTTTCATGAATACATACATATCATATTATATAATATTCTCAGATAAAATGTTGTAGATTATGTAAAATGTACTTGAAATTCAATAGGAGTCAGGAAAAATGTGTAAAAGCTTTCCACTTCAGTGTTGATTCAACTATAAATAATAATCTACATTATAACATTCTATACAGCCATTTGTTGATCATGTTTCCGTACATAACTAATGACTCAATACTGACATTTGTCCAACAGATAAATAAGATGTAGAATTTGATGAGGATATAAGATATGCATGTGAATTTGGTGAGGATATTACATATATATACGTGAATTGTGATAAGAACACTTCTTAGTTGAAGGGGGTTTAACCAAATAAAAATCGCGCTTTCATTTGTTACCATTTAAACAAGACAAGAACAAGAATGTTTTCTAGGATACCAATTAATTATGAATTTATGATAACAAACACAGCATACCTGTTATAAGAACACATCCACACAAATCAAGGGCTCTAAGATCGGGACATCCATATGCTAAACTCATTACCCCCACATCACCAACATTCTCACACCATCCCAGATTCAACGACTGCAACTGACAACAGTTGTACCCAATAGTCTGCACACAATATCTTAGTAAAGTGAGAAAAAAAAACTCTATCGATCATAAGCACTCAAATGAGTAATAACAAGCTCTAACTCTTTCTTACCTTCAACGCCTTGTCAGATGCAGCTTTCACACATCCACAAAGATTCAAGTACTTCAATTTTCTGCAAAACTGAGCCAAATATGCAAGACCCATATCGCTGAACGCAGTACACCCACTGATGTTAAGTTTTATAAGATTTGGACACCCATGAGCCAAAGCAAACAGAGAACAATCACTAAGCTTAAAGCTCTTGCTGAGGTCCAAATCCTGCAGGTCATGGCAGTAATTTGCAATAGTCTCGACCGCATTATCTTCAAGCTGCGGTTTATCCTGACGCAGAATCAGGGTCTGCAGTTTTGTGAATTTAGGAGCAAGAGAAAGAACCAAGTTGTTCATGTTGTTCTTGCACCTAAAGAAAAACTTTGCCTGTTAGTGAGAGATCATCTAGCGGACACAGGATAATGTCAGATAAGGCATAGTTATCAAGTAACATGAAAAAAAAAAAAGAGTGCAAAAAGTGCATGAAACAGTAGACATACTCACGAACTACCTAAAATTAAACAAAACAACCTTTTGTTTGATCCTATATATTATGTCTTATTGTTCATACTGGCCTATCAATTTCTCGCTACTGAAGTGGATGTACCTCCAATGCTCTGTGAACTGAATCTAAACAATCTAGAGCATGTATTGGATGTCATCCAATACTCTGGAGACAGATAGAGATAAGACAGGTTTCTCCACAACAGGAAGACATATAATGATCTTAATCATCATTTTATAAGCCAAATCATGCAAAACACTCAAACAATGGACTAATTGTTGAGAAGTATTAATGTCAAAAGACCAGTGTTTGCACCATCCTCACAGAAAAACAAAATGGATGCTAAATTACACTGATGAGGACAATAATAATTGTGAAAGAGCCACATGAACATACTTGTATTCAAATTCTAAACAGTTACTGGGGAATTTAAAATTCAAATCGACATAACCATTATAGACTGTTGATTTGGATATACGTTGCAACCTTATGGATGTCCATTAAAATCATTTAATGAAGAGGATCCAAATCCTAACCAGTAACATAAGAAAAAAGTTATGCACATGTTTTATTTTTAACAATATCATCAACTACCAAAAACTTAAAATCTATCATGTCCAGCATAGTTGATTGCAAAGAATAAAGATAACACAAAACATAACACAATTTACTATTATACCCAGATAAATCACCTATATTCTTATCTTGATAAAGGCAATCAGAATAACAAGTAAACCAAGGAACATACCAAGACCAAATCAAACAAAACAAATAAATGGAATATGATGCTTGGCCCATAGAAAAGTTACTAAATCACAATTGCATATACACATAAACAAAGAAGGCAATAGATGATACCATGAGAGGGAGAGTTGGGTAAGTCCCAAGGCAATAGCATCCCTCCAACCACTACAGACTCCTGCAGCAACGATGACGGTTCGATCATCACCTAACGAAACAATTCGCAACAAGAGCTCCATGGGAATGTCCTTCCATTCAGTGATCACACCGCCACAACCCATCTTGGCTCCCTCAATTCCACCACCCCCACCAGCACCAAACACCATCAGCTTCTCAAAGCACAAATCCAAGTCCTCAGGCATCAACCCCTCTCTCCCAACCATTTGAGTCCTCTATATATGCAATCCCAATAGCTTCACCCTTGTTTCTGTCACCAAAATTAGAGAGAGAAACAGATAAGGCATCATCATCTGGTAAAAAGACAACAAAGCAAAACAAAAACCCATCCATTTTTGTCAACAAAGTCTGCAGAGTTATATAACATAGTCATCACCATAAAACCCTACAAAACTTGTGCATATATGTATATCTTTGAACATATATATAATCATAAGCAGACGCAATTAACAGGGCATTTTCATATATGCAAAAAATTGAAGATTTGGACGTCCTTGGGTCTGGAAAAGTTTGATTTTTTTGCAGAGAATTGTGCATTAAAACAGAGATTTTGTTTAGAATAATACAGTAGATGATCGGACCTGTAAGTCTTCAAATTCTTCTGATGAAGAGTACACACATATACAGATACTACACACATACAAACTCATAGATACAGAGATAGATATACATGCATACATATATTAGAGAGAGAAGAGATAGAGTTAAGGTTTGGGAGTACCTTCGATGAGGTCGATGATGATGACTTGGTCTCGTGCAGCTACGAAAGCCTGCGTTTTAAAGACAGGCGAGGAAAGAGAGAGAGAGAGAGAGAAAATACATATATATATCATCTCTTTAATTTTTTATATATATTTTTAAAATATTTATAAAAAAAGAAATTAAAAATTAATTAATCCACTTTCTAAAATAATTTTATGGGCAGATGAATGCAAGAAAAAAAAATACAAAAAAAAAACATTTCAAGTGCAAATGTGTCTATGATTAAATGTAATTGAAAAGTGTCACTTATATCTCTTATAGGTTGATTATTTTCTTTTTCTACACCCACTTGCCTGTAGTTTCAAAAGAAAAAAAAATTATTGAAGGAAAAGAGGGAAGAAACGTAAGGGAAAATATTACGAGACGCGCAGCAAGCCACGTGTTAGGTGTTGTCACGAGGGAAAATGTGGGACCAAATAGAAGTGGCTCTGATTTGATTTTGATTTGATTTAACAAAGATTGTAAGCTTTTTGACAGATGTTATTGGTTTTAGAGCAATACTATACATCACTAATTTACCATCACTAATATCATCATCACTAATATCATTACTAGTGAGGTGACAATTGAAAAAAAAATAAAAATGCTAGAGGCCCCAAAAATTCCACCAAAAGTTTTACCAAATGTCTCACATGGGTGTGGGACCCGCATGGAACCCACATTGTGTGGGTCCCACACCCATGTGAGACATTTGGTAAAACTTTTGGTAGAATTTTTGGGACCTCTAGCATTACTAAAAAAAAACAAGGTACAAAACACATGTGGCACTGAGTGGGACCCACTGCGACATCATTATAGTCACCACTAATTAATGGTTTAAAACATTTTTGTTGGTTTTATTGGTTTTTCGTGCGTCACCATGTAATGTTTTAGAATAAAAATCAAAAGTTTTAATTTTAAAATTAATTTTAATAATGTGATAAGAAATGAGATTTATATATAATGTGATGTATGTAATTATATTTATATTTTTCTTTTTTCTTTTTATCTGGTCGTATTACTAGAGTTCTTTTTAAAGTTTAAAAATTAAAACTCTCTAACATTATTAAATATTTTAATTGTGTTGTAATTAATAAAAAAAAGTGAAATTTATAAATATATTAAATAATTATTAAGAGATATGATTATGTGATGCATTTGATAAAATTAATATTTTTTCTTAGGTTTTGCTTGGCATAGTATTTTTGGGTTATTTTAGTTATAAAAAGATAAAATAAGCTAAAATATCAATAAGATAAAACGTAACATCTAAATCATAATCATTTTATTTTTTTCTTACAAAAGTCAAGAAAGTTGAAAAACTTATTCCAAAAGAGACTTTTAGTTTCAGGATAAAATAGCTAAAAAATTAAAAAAATCAACCCACATCTCAAATGAAGGCTTAATATGAGGCTTATTTGATTCCATGTGAATTCATTTCAAATTTATTTTTTTATAATTTAAATTATTTATTTTATAAAATTTATTAAACATATTATTTATGTTAAAAATTAAATTGATTGAATATAAATAATTATATGACCATATATCAATAGTTATGGTGGTGTTTGGTTTTTATTTTTGGCTAAATAATCACAAAAAGACAACAAAAAAAAAGGTCAAAAAATCACAAAAAGACAAAAATCACAAAAAGACAAAACAAAATCCACTATTCCAAAGCTAAAAAGTCAAAAAAGTCAATCAAAAATACCAAACGAACAAAAAAGTACCAGGTTAAAAAAGTAAAAAAGCCAACTAAAAAAAGTCATTGCAAACAAAGGCTAAATAATTGGATTATATTTGTTTAAAAACAAATTACAAGTATGATTTTGAATATTTTTTTTAATTCTTTTGAGATAAATATGATCTGATCATATCACTATTCATATTTGATTAATTTAATTTTTAATAATAAATTTTTAGACGGATTTTATAAGTGAATAATTCAAACCACCAAGATAAGATTAAAACCAACATATACTAGGCTAATTTGATTTCTCAAATGGATTCAATATGGATGAGAAATCTAAATGTTATATAAATAAAAACTAAATTGTAATAATTTAAAAAATTGACCTAACATAGAAAAATAAAAATTCAAAATAAGAACCACTGAATTTAAATATTAGAATTAATTTATTCTCACATTTATAAATTAAATTTGCAAAATAAATTTTTACATAAGAATCACCCACCCACAAATGATAGTTAGAAACATAATTTATAAAAAAAAAATAATAATAATTATAAATAATTAATAATTAAAATTATAAATATTTTACTAATGTATAATAATTTTTAAAAATCTCTCCTAAATGATAATTTTTTCTTCTAAATCCATGATAATTTTTTACTAAAGAAAAAGAAGATTTGATTACAATTTATGAAAAGAAAAAATTTGAGTTAAGAGAGAGAAAAAGGGGGTCGTGAAGGTTCTAAATTTCCAATCAACGGTTGTCTAAAAACGAAGCCGCCCAAAAGTGTGGATAAGTGGGAAAAAGGGTAGGAATCAACTGCTTTTAGGCTTTACATGGGTTCAATTAGGGACTGGCTTCACTCTTTTAATTTTGTTTGACTCTTTAGCAAGGAAAATTGAATTTATAATCCATAAGATCCATTTAAAAAATATTTAGTGGGAGACATGAGTAAAATGATTAATTATTCCTTTAAATTAGGTTTTCTCCCATATGGTAGGATTAATAAAGTTATGAGAGGTTTGGGATTAGAAATTGAGTAAAGGGATTAATAAATTTTTAAATGATTTTTAAGTAAAAATTATATTTAAAAAAATAATTATAATATTAAAAAATTACTAAAAATTAAAAAATTGTTAATTTTATATATTAATACTATTTATAGTATTACTAATCTAGTGGTGTACAAACAAATAATTTTTATCTTACATCTCCAACCTAATACCATCACATTAATAATCTTCTCACTTAATCTTACCATACTCTTAATTCCCTCGATCCTATGAAGTCCAACGAACGTGACCTAATTCTCCATTGGATGGAGAAGTGCTATCCGGCCCGGTGGACTCATTTTTAAATTTTGTTTTAATAATTTAAATTATTCATATTTTAGAATTTATCGAGTACATCATTTATACAAAAAATTAAGTCGATTGGATAATGATAACCATAAGTTCAGATCAATTTTGTATAAAAAAATAAACTGTTAGAAAATAAACATATAAAATTGATTTGAACACTTATTTTTTATTATTTGATCAATTTAATTTTTTATAAGAATAATGTATTGGATGTATCTTAAAATACAAATAATTAAAATTATGAAAGCGGGATTCAAAAACCAGTCGGACTGGAGTGTGATATGACGAAGGACTGGAGACCAGTCCCTTGAATTATACTAGTTATGAACCATATCATATACAGCCTTAAAAAGGGTGGACATATAGATAGAGTATTTTGTTTTGTTTTTTGTAATTCTTATATTTTTTGTGACAAATTATTGTAATAGTATTGTAGAATTTTTGTTAACATAATCAAAGAGATACAGCGAAAATTTTTAAATTTTAAAAAATAAAATTATTTGTTAATAATTTTTTTAATCAAATCAAATGGAATTTTTACTTTTGACTTCTTTAATTAGAAACAAAATTATTTAAATGTTTCCAAACACGTCTGGAAGTTAAAACCATGGTTCCATCCTCATTTAAAAAATAAAATTTGATTAAAAATCCCTCAACATAATCTTATAATACAAACACGACACTTCAACAATTTTCAATGCATATGGTTAATATAATTCATAATTTAAGAGAAGTCAAATCCTTGTAAAAATGATATCAATATCACATGGATTTATTTTTAGGGATAAATTTACCATATTTGTTGTATTTGAAGAGACACCGAACAAAGTTAAAATAGAAAAGAGGATATATAAGATGAAGGAAAAGAGCAAACCATGATTTTTAGGGGTATATCTGTGATGAAGTTCAAAAAAAAACACGATAGACAAACACCTAAGGATAGACTTAGAGGGGGGTAACAATGGCGATCTGTTCCCCGCGATTTCAAAAACTTCTATCATTATAGTAGTATTAATTATAATTATCTGTAAATTATAGAGATTCACCCCCTCTAAATAATTTTTTTTGAATTAAGTGGTTGTATTCTCTTGATTTTTTTTTAAAAAAATTGAGTGGTTGCTTTTTTATATCTATAAACCATTAGATTAAAATTTAAAATTTTTTAAAAAAAGAAGACAAAGTATAATAAAATTAATAATTTTTTATAACTATCATTGATAACAAGCCCTATTTATAGATTAAAAAAATACTTATTTGTATATATTTTCATCTTAATTTCATTTTTTATATGTCAATAGGAAATTGATATTGCAATTTATATTTTTTTATTTAAAACTTTTGCTAGTATATATATTTTCATCCCTATGTGAAAATCCTAAGTCCATCCAGAGACAGACGTAGGATTCAAATATTGGAGGAGTGAGTGTATATGCAATTAAAAAATTTGTAATGAGCATGTGATATACAATATCAACTTCTACCCAAATATCACAAAAATATATAATTAGATGTTTCCATTCATCATATATAATTACAAAATATTATCAAAATACAATTGGATATGTGCTTGTAAACCCATATTAATTTTCAAAAAAGCAACTATTTGTTCTACATATCTACTTAGGTATCTAAAGTTATTCTCGACGTTATTTCATAATATAAAAAGCATTTATAATGGAATCTACATCAAAATCTCAAGCAATGTCTTTCTCAACATATGTTAATAAATAGTTTGAAAGAAAATCATCCTCCATCCTATTGCACAATCTAGTCTTTACAATTTTCATGGCTAAAAATGTACGTTTTGTTGTCGTTGTAGAAACTGGTAAAGTTAGAACAAGACAAATTAATCTATCGACAAGAGGATAAATTGTTGACTTCTTTATTGTTACCAACATTTGGCACAAGTCAGAAATTGTCAACAATTGCAGAAACTCAAGATGTCTAAGGATGTCAATCTCGTAGTTTTGCAATTGAAATTTCAAATGTATTTTTTCTTGCTCTGTAAAGTCATTAGGATCAAATTGATTTGCAAGCTTGCATATATCTTCAATTTTGAACGAACTATAATCATCC